CGTCAATGGAGAAATCCACAACACTTAGTTTAAGCCAGCTAGCCAGCCAGCCACGTACGTAGGAAGATGTAGACTGGCTTCCTGACTGGTTGGGGTCCTCGGGATGACGGTAAAAACCAATGAAGGCTGGAAACAATTGGTGACATGCTAAAAATCGTTCTCAATGCCTGGCGCAGATGCATCCACTCCTTGTGACTTACTTATGATTTCCAATGAAACTGTTTTGTTCTTGGTTATCATTATTCCTTTGTCTCACCACACCACTGTTTACTGTCTCTCTATTATGCATTTCTCCTACTTTCTTCTCTTGCTTTGTGTGCTACAAGGAAGGAGTGTGGCGACTTGAACTGTCGCACATATGTGCAAAGTTCTATGTCGAAAACAGACAGACAGACAGACATCATCATTAATACATCCATACATTTGTGTGTGGGAAAATTATCATCGAATCACGCAGAGAATCACAGACATTTCCCTAGTTGTATGTGCTGTGGTGTCATAACCTGTGATTTACAATCCATTAGCACCTCTGACAGAAAAGAGAAGCTGTAATAGTAATAGTAATAATAATAATAATAATAACAGTGAGTTTGTTTTGAAACAGTATTGTCGATTCAGTTTGGAAATTTTAGCATGTTATTATAGATTATTGAATCTAATGTTCTGTTGATGTAGCAGTATGGTGAGGGGAAATACGAAATTAACACAGTTATAACAAAGCTTAATTGATGTTCACACTTACGAGAAAATAAACAAATAAAAATTGAAACAAAAAATTGAGAGGATTATAAATATAAGAAGTTCAACAGCAATGTTGTAAGGGTGGAGGAAATGGTTTATTTAGTAGTACGAAGAAGGTTAGTTAGTTAGTTGCCTAACACTGTTTTCATCACATATAAAGTACGTGCAGCGAAATATGGTACAGTGGAATTTTTATACTTAGACGTAGGTGCATAAAGCCTTCTGAAAAGACTTCCTGTTTTACCTGAGGGGGAGACACAAGGTTGCAGCTGAGGGTGCTGCGGTGGATGCTCACAGTCTGACAATATTCCTTTAGCAAAATTTATTGCATGACATCAAGTGTCTATCAATCAGTGACAATGTCAACGATATGGCTTCAGTCTTCAGAGCTCTACGAAGTATGACATAGTCTTTTTTAAACAAGCAATCCAGGCAAGAATAAGCAGCGGGTGAAAAGTAAAGAAGAAGAATAGGTAAGATGCATGCATGAGTTGACACACCGTAAGAGGAGGAGGAGTAGGGGTTGGTTGAGTTATGCCTGAGGAGTGCCTTAACTTCTTAATGTAAAAAGAACTCAGACGAAATATTCTTTTAGAAATCGCTAAGACATGGAAAAATCAGGATAGGTCAGTAGAAAGAATTAATCCAAGATACTTAACTTCAGACTTGATTTCTATATCAGCATCATTTACGACTGTCTGTCTCTGTCTGTATTCAACATAGAACTTGGCACCGAAGTGCACCAGTTCAAGTTGCCACCTTCCAAATACCACACAAAGGTAGACAAGAAAATGGATGAGTGAAGAGAATCAATAGAGTTTTGACGAGTATAAGAGTGAAACAGAATGAGTAATGGTAGAAAGGAATATGAAAGATTACACGAGAGACTGAATACATCTGCGTAAGCCATTGACAACGATTTTGAGCCATGTCACATATTGTCTGTCGCCAGCCATTGATTCTTAGAGTCCTGAGGGCAGGCCCTAACCATTCAGGAAGTCTGCATCTCCCTATCCACCTGACTCAGTTTAACTGTCAGGGATTTCATGGACTGACGAGGCCATGTTTTTGTTTGGCATCGGTTGGTCGATCGGTCGGTTTTCGACATAGAACTTTGCACATATCTGCGACAGTTCAAGTCGCCACACTCCCTCCTTGTAGCACGCAAAGCGAGAGAAGAAAGTAGAAGAAATGCATAATATAGACAGTAAACAGAGGTGTGAGACAAAGGAATAGTAATAACGAAGAACAAAACAGTTTCATTGGAAATCATAAGTAAGTCACAAGGAGTGGATGCATCTGCGCCAGCTAGTCAACCAGGTAACCATTGAGAACGATCACTTTGAGCCATATCATCACCAATTGTTTCCAGCCTTCATTGGTTTTTACCGTCATCCCGAGGACCCCAACCAGTCAGGAAGCCAGTCTACATCTTCCTACGTACGTGGCTGGCTGGCTAGCTGGCTTAAACTAAGTGTTGTGGATTTCTCCATTGACTTGTGAAGTCATGTTTTGTTTGACCACCGCTGTCTGTTTTCCAGCCTGACTCATCCTATGTCAGCTAACATTGCCCATTGTCGAGGAAGTCGCTGGAAGGCTAGGCATGCGTAACATCTCAATCGATGTAACTGCTTCACAACCTCGTCGGTTGATTCTCCCTCCTATTTACCTAACACTCAACCAACTCCTAACCTCAATATTGTTCACCTTATCATACCACTTCACACGGTAGATAGAACACAGGCAGGCACTTATGATCAAATACAGCTAACCTTTTCATGTCTTCCACTCTCAATGGCCAGGTCTCACAACCAGCCAGCCATAAAGGAGGACGGAGCGGACTGACTGCAGAGCAGTACACACGCCCTTTGATCGATAGTTGGATATCACGTCTACGCAAGAGACGGCGTAAACTGGCGGGCGTATGCGAACCTAGCCCTCTGTATTCGTGCTGATATTTCGTCTGAGATCAACCCGTTGGCACTGGCTGATGGTACTTCCCAAGTAATTGAAGCGGTCAACATGCTCTACCACTTCACTTCCTATTTCTAATCTAGGGGTCGGTGAAGTCCAATCCTGTAGCATCATGTTACATTTTACAGGGGAGAATCGCATGCCAAACATACGAAGATTGTTGCTCAAGGTGTTCAGAAGACTATCTCTAGATTCTATAATAGAGCTCTTGGTTAAGAACAGTATCAAAGGTATGGGGTACTGCTTCTTAATCAATAATTCTACTATACTAGCAACACAAATGAACACACACACAAACACCACCAAAAAAAGTTGTATCGCAAACAATCGTAGAGATTAGCCTAATTCATTCATCATAAAATCGACATATGGGCAGCAACAACACATGATTTGCAATCGGGCGTTAGGGGTATCCACTGACCTGAAATGAGGCAAAAAAAGACAAACAACCAAGAGAGAGAGAGAGAGAGAGATAGAAGAGCGTACAACTTACTTTCACTGCTAAACACAAGTAGAATGATGCTTTTTCCATATGACCCCATGATGATGGTAAAGCGATAGGCGTTTGATGATGATGATGATGACTAGCCGCCGCTTCAACGACAATAGCAGCTGCATCCAATAAGCATTCAACTAGACAAATCACAGGTCGACCTGGTAGACCAATCCAACCGATATCAGCATGACAAGGACAATTTGAAGAAATCAGACCACAATTCATATCAGTCTCACCACTAGCACCACACCACCACCACCTGGAAAGTAATCACCACCACCACCACTGGGCATATTTGAATGAGGCGACAGTAACGGTCTTGAAGGAATAGATCTGTTCCCAGGAGGAGGAGGAGGAGGACAAGGAGAAGTAGGAGAAGTTAATGAGCGGTTATAGTGAACAGGATGCATCACTGCTGCTGTTGCTGCTGCTCCTATGCTATTCCCATTGCTACCACAGTTTGAGTTATGCATAGGTGGTGGTAATGAACAAGAAGAAGCATAGGGGTAAAGCGAAGAATTTGGATAAGGCATATGCTGCTTATTATAATAATAGTAGACATGATTGGTATTCGACGATTGTTGTTGTTGTTGTTGATGATGATGATGATAAGAATTATGAAATGGAACTGGAGAAAATGGTGATGATCCTGATGATGATGAAGATGCTGATGGTGCTGATGCAGACGGGGAACAGTGATTTAAATATTGCTGAGATGTACTAGGAGCAGAAGGGGGAGGGGGAGGAGGTGATTTAAACAAATAAGGGGATTGACTAGACCAACAACAGTTATTATTATTATTCACAGGCTGATGATTAGAACATGATGGACCAGGACTGTGATTTGAATTCGGTGAAAGACCAAGACGCCTAGGCGCAGGCAGAGGCGGGGGAGGAGGTGGGGGAATTGAACGTGAATGATGATTCACATTAATTGGAGGGGAGAGTGATGCTGGACGAGGCGAGGTAAGGCGGCGATGTGAAGGAGAGAATTTGCCATGATTCGAAATAATAATCGGAGATGAGGGCATATTGGCTAAAGAGAGAGTTAAAAAAAAAATAAAAAATAAAAATAAATTACAGTAGGAATGACAAGAATATAAATTTTTCGCCAAATATAGGCCATATATATATGTATATTGTTTCATTGAGAAAAACATGAAGTTAAGGGAAAAGCCAGAAAGAATCCAGACGGTGCCGAGAAGAAACTGCTATCTATGAGTGTTGAATGTAAAGGTGATACCGCAGCTGAGATCCTGAAGAATCGCTGCTTATGCAGATCACACTGAGGAAAGCCTTCTTTATGGCTAAGCTACGTATCAAATTCTACAGCGGACAAATGATCAATAGATGTGTAAAGGATAAACTGCCGCTTTGGACAGACCACTTCAATGTGTGTGTGTGTGTGTTTATAAATTCACCTGCTTGTGTGGAGCTAGTTATATTGGCCGCCCGGACAACTTAGCGAACACTTTCGAAACGCATTTCTGAACATTTACCGACATAATAAGAAAAAGGGACAATGCAAGACAATTACTAGCTCAATTCTCGAGCATTTAGTGAACTCAGGCCAGAGTCGTCTTTCAAGATCATCTACAAGCTGTAATCAAATGGTAGAAAGGGCATCAGGTTTCAGCTTTCGTGTATGGGACGGAGGCTCTGGCAATTCATCAATACAACCCTGAACTCTGTTTACAGAAAAGGTTTCTCCAGTCTCTTATTCTACCTTGGCCTTAACCTCTTCACTAATCGTTCCTTGTAAATAAAATATTTTTTGATTTTTTCTTTTCATTCTACTTTCTCTTTTAGTTAGCTTTTGCTTTAATAATTAATACACTATTATCACTCTCATATGCTCCTTTTGTATATTTTCACACCCTCTTCACGCTTGTTAAATTGACACTCAAATACCTTTATTCTCACTACTCAATAGCAATTTTAACCTTATCAAATTTCTATCTTTTTGCCGTTCAGTAACACGTAATTTACAACTTTTAACTTTCAAGTGTATTGGTGGTTTTGTAAGGATTTTGTTTGATTGACTGCATGGAGAATTTCATCATGACTAGCTGACATCAGTTAGAGAACCAATGGAAAACCAACCAACCAGGGAGTACTGCCAAACTACCGGCTGTTTCCTCTGTCCTAGTTTGGGAGTCTTCACAGCAGCAGTACGCACCTCCACTATGGGTCCCAGTGAGTGGCTCAATGGTCTACTAGCAGCTAGCTCGCTTTGTAGCCAGAAGTTCCTGCGTTCAAACCCTGGCAGTGGGGTGGGTGTGTACTGCTGAACTCTGAAGAGTCCAGTACTCCCCCTGGTTGGCTTACCAATGCTTCTCTAACCAATGTCAGCTGGTCATGATGAAATCCTGTAAAGGAGGGAGGGTGGCACATGCTGATCAGTAGTTATGGTGGTGGACACTAAGGTGAATCGCCCCATTCTGCAGGAACAGCAATATGCAATTTGACGGCTCGAGATTTCTATGAGGGCTTGAATCTTTATCTTGAAAAAGATAATAATGATCGCCTAGACAGATCATGCTTCCACCTTTAAACATATACCATTCGCTCAGCCTATTACTGAGATGCGACCACGTGGGCTCTGCACAGATTTATGGGGCATCTTGTCTCATCTCATTCATTTTCTAATAACGTCTTCACTTGCTCATTATATTCCACTAAACCTAACATTTTATAGCTCTTTATGAATTTGATTCAACTTATTTTATTCCTATTCTCTATAGGGTACGGTTGTGCACCAAATACACAAAAAGGTATGAAATTAAAACAACCGGCTTGTGGATAATTGTATTAAACCAAAAGTGGACAACATGATAGTAAGACCTATAGGGTTGCATTATACATTGCAAATGAACTTTGTCAGCCTAGGGATTATAGTCTCCCATTGTATTTCCTTTATGAATGCATATATTAATGATACATTGCATTTACCTATTTCATTACACTTTAATCATTCACCTTAGCACCTTTACTTTTCTAAAACAGCTTACTATCCCTTGTAAACGTTGTACTTACCTCAATATTAGTTGGTTATCGTATGCCTACAACTACGGGTTGAAAACGAAACGAAGTCGTTTTTCCTGCGCAACCTGGAGGACTACTGTTTAATTCAATAATGATACCACATGGGTCAGACAAAGAGTGTATTTATATGTATCTATCAAATATTTAGCTGTTCAAACATTACTAACTTGTAGACAATCTACTATTTGACATTATATCATATTTGATCGTGCCTGTAAAAATGGCATGCATTTTCATGTAAATTTATGTTTATATGAAAATATACATTATTATTATTATTAACCAATCAACCAAATAATACAATTTTATTGAAGAGAACACACGCTTACAAACTACAAATCCATAGTAATCTCACCTTAACTATATATATAGTATGATTAAATTGTTGCATTAAAAAAATATTTACCTGAGGATATATAACGTGAATTAGAATGCATTCCACCGCCAACTCGAATTCCTTGTCCATTATTAGGCGGTGTATTGAACAGTGTACGACGCGCTGTTAATATATCATTCGGATAATTATTATTATTATTGTTACTATTATTATTATTACTATTACTGTTACTATTATTATTATTATTATTCCAAGACATGTGCGGAGAAAATGTTTGCGGGGGACTACGCATACCCATATTGAATAATGTAGACGTGGCTAATGCAGTTTTCGCTTTAACCGACCGCAATAAACGCTGACTAATGAATACAGCAAGTTGTAGTGCTTGACTTAGATAACCATTACTGCGTAATGCAGCGACACGTAAACACAGTAAGGGGAATGGTTCAGTCAGAGTGGCTGAAAGATCACAATAAGGGCAATGACATTCACCTCCTCCGCCTGCTCCAGGCGAATTAGACTGATATAATAAACGATTATATGCATTCACTCGCCTTGGTGTCACTACTACTGAAGACGGTCGCCTAAATATTCGCCTATCATCACAGTCACTGTTGTTTTATTATTATTATTATCATCCAAAGAAATATTTGTTGAATAATGAGATTGACGGTTGACGCTGGTCTCATTGAGCTCTTCTTCATTTTTGTCCGACTTGATATTATTATTATTATTATTAAAAGACAATAAATGCGTTAACCAGACCTCATCCCATGACATATAACTGACTTCTATTGGCAGCCGGAATACTGAAGTACGACGATAGGCACGAGAGGTTGCTGGCTGTTGGCCACCAGACTGTTGTTGGTGTTGCTGACCATCGACTTCATCGACTTCGGATAATTCATGAATAGACGAAAAATAATGATTAGGAAGTAGATAACAATCATCACAGGGACTTCGACTGACACGTGACCAATTCTGTAGTCGACAACGCCATTGTTTTTTCACTTCAGCACTGCAATCAGGACTAAGGAGTACAAGTGTCCATAGCAGGCACACTTCTTCCCATAGTCGAACAGTCCATGGAGGAGGTTGACTGAACAATGAATGAGAGGAATTATGATTCGATGATGGTGATGGTGCTGAGGAGGAGGAGTTGGATAAGTTTTCACTGGAGTAATTACGATCAGATGTTTGCAGCAGTTGACTATGCGGTAAACGGATTACAGGAGGAATTGTTTGTGATCTATTCGCCATGTTGATTCCACTATTCCGGATATTTCGTCTTGATTTTAAAGGCTGATAGAGAAAAAGAAAAAAAATTGTATGTTTGAAAATTTCATGAATAAATCAGACGTTCAATAACATGAAATACTCAAATATTTTAAAAGCGTTTTTTTTTTGTTTGAAGTAATTACCATAAGTTAAATATGCGTATTGTGTATTTTAATAATAATAATAATCACATATGCATTGGAATAAGAACGGCTTTGTGATTTTATTCAAAAATATTCATTCAGACATCTATAAAACACAAAATATAATTGAGCCAGGAAAGAATATCCCCCTTTCGATAATTTCCTCCTCCTCCGGCTCTACAATTATATGCATATGTCTATATACATAGAATATTCTAGATTAGTAGTCAACAACAATATTAGTGTGTGCTTTTTAAATAGCAATATCGATTTGTAAGGTAAGATCACAATGGAATCACCAGAGTTCATTAAGTTGCTTAAATTATAATAATAATAATAATAAAAATATAGTAGAAAATAGAATATCAACTAAAATTAGGAAAATCCCACAAATATTCAGGATCGATCATTCAAACCTAGATGGCCAAGCGGGTAAGGATAATGTCTGAACCAACCAACCAACACTTCTTTTGGATGCACAAATTAGGCTTGTTAATCTGGATCCCAACACGGCCAGCTAGCCAGCCAGCCTCAGCAATGTATTTAGTAGTCGAACTGTTAAGGCGAAATTGAGATTTGTTTGTTGGTGTTTGCGGTAACTGACCCTGAAAGCCGCCGCCTTGTTAACATCAATCAGTCTTGTGTTCTATATGCACAAGATGATGAGTGAGATAGAATAGAACAGCACTGTGAATAGATTTTGCTTTTTTTCCCTTTACTTAACCAACCAACCACTGTGCAGGAGTGGATGATGTTCGGAAATTCGATGAGAAACACGCCAAATTAATTGTACGGCCTATGCAAGTAAGTAACTGGCTCACTCACTCCACGCAGGAGCAGTTAAATTGGTAGATACACACACACACGAATGCAAAGAGAGAGAGGAGTGGGTGGTTTTGAAGACACAGCGTAATTCAGCAGCAGCAGCGTATCTCGCTGATGTTGTTGTCCCCAAGGAACCGACTGCATTTGTAACAATAAGGCCTTCCTTCATTTTTCGCAACTGTTAGTGTACACCTTGGACTGCTTTGATGATTTTAGTTAGATTCATACATATTTTTTCATCAATAAACTTTTCTGGATAGCCAGTTTTTCACTCAGCAACCGTATCATTATTCACCACCGGATTAGATGTATGCAGCATTCATGAATTGAATACATAGATATCTAGCATAAATAACAAGACTGTTGAAGAATAATCATTTATGAGCTGACATTAGTTAGAGAACCATTGGAAAACCTACACTGGGAGTACTGGACAGCTGTTTCCTCCGTCCTAGTTTGGGACTCTTCAGTAGTACGCACCCACCCGAATGCGGTTCGAACCCAGGACCTTCTGGTTACAAGGCGAGCTCGTACTAAGCCACTGGGACCGGATCCAATGGCCCATGAATTCTAACTTCTGTCAATTCACGCACGACATAGCGCGACCCTTAGCTCACCTTGTCACCAGAAGGTTCTTGGTTCGAATCGCATTCGGGTGGGTGCGTACTGCTGAAGAGTCCCAAACTAGGACGGAGGAAACAACTGGCTGTCCAGTACTCCCAGTGGTAGGTTTTCCAATGGTTCTCTAACACCAATGTCAGCTGGTCATGATGAAAATCCTGTAACCAATCAAAAGTAAATCCCTACAAACCAACACTTGAATATTTATTATTATTATTGTTCCCTTGGGTTCCTAGTGGAACATAGGGCTTCAACTGCACGCCTCCACTCTCACTTCTGTCTTCACCTGCATCCATGTTAGTCCATACTGTTTCAACTCCTCTTCACACAATCTCCTCCATGTCAGTCACCCTTGGACGTCCCACTACTCGCCGCTTCCCTTTCGGGTTCCACTCGAGCGATGGCCTGACGCGCAATGTCACCCAGCAGCGGCCTCCTCAGCCAGTGAGTGTCCAATCCATCTCCACTTTCTCCTGCATATTTGTTGAGCGATTGGTTCTTGTTTTGTTTGTTAGTTCCCATAGCTTCTTGTTTGTGATTCTTTCCGGCCATCTAATCTTCAGTATAGAACAAAGACAGCTGTTGTTGATAAAGGTCTGCAACAGGCTGTTGGAAATATTCTTTGTGACCCGCCGCCAAGTTTCTGATCCATCCGTATAGAAGAACTGACTGACTTGACGTTTGTATTGAAAATCCGAATTTTGTTGTTGAGTGTTGCTGAGTGACGAAGATTTCCAGATTGGTTTCAGGTTTTTATTAATGTGTTTCTCGCCTTCCCGATTCTCGATTTGACATCCTCGCCGTCCGTTCCTCCTGCTGTAGTTGAGACAATGCTCCCTAGCTAGATAAGTGAATGAAGTAACCTCTTTCAAATCCCTCCCGTTGATGGTGATTGGCGCTGGATGTTGCTGTTGTTGTTGTTGGTTGGTTATTTTCATAACCTTCGTCTTGTCTATGTTCACCTGGAGTCAGTCCTGTCTTTGCTGCTTCTTCGACCAGTTTGTCGGTTTTCGCCTCGCCTAGATTACTAGGTCACTAGTATTCTAGCCGGTCCCAAACCAGGATAAAGAAGGAGGGTTGGGGCGTGGTGCTAGCAACTCCACCCCCAAAACTTAACCAAATTGCTACTAAAACTTCAACGCACAAATATATTAAAAATTCTACAAATACAAACTTGAATATTTCATTTACATAAAACTGATTTATAAGATTTATAAATTATCATCATCATCATCGTTTTTGTTTTTACTTACAGGCAGTTTTGAACAGTTCAGTAATTCTTCTGTGATAAGACTTAACAAACGCGGAGCATTTGAATCACGTTTAGCCAATAATTCGCGTACTTTAGCGAACATGGCAGCAATCTGTGTTCCACTTGACTGCATACTGCTACTATTAGTAGTAGTAGTAGTAGTATTAGTCGTATTGATATTGGAGTTATTATGCACATTTGGATCAATATCGAATGAATTGGATAGTAGGTGAAATGGTGAAGTGGAATAATATAGACGATTACTGCTGTTGTTGTTGTTGTTGGACATCGATGATTCTGAATGAAGACATGATTCATCATAGGATCCTGGGGCATGGTTACTAGATGTTGATGATGATGCAAAGTCGAAGTCATTGAATGTTGTATAAGGATTTGTACATGTTGTACTGCCGATAAACAGATTCTGATGCGATGTTGTTAATCGACGATATCTGAGTAACCAGTCTAGACCAACTTCTTCACTGGGAGGAGGAGGAGGAGAGGAGGTATGGTCAGTATCTAGACATGGAAGGAGGAAGGAAGCGAGAGAGAAATGATGAACAGATTAACAAAGATAGGTTAAAAATTTTGATATGCATTTTGCATAGGAAACAGTTTAAAACACACATCTATGCTACACATCTATGTGCAATTATCAATTCAACTGCACCTGCGGTGACAGTTATGTTGGGAAGTGAACTGGTAGAGCACGTTGACCACTTCACTTACTTGGGAAGTACCATCAGTCAGTGCAAACGGTTTGATCTCCGACGAAATCTCAGCACGAATACAGAGGGCTAGGTTCACATATGCCAGTTTGCGCCGTCTTTGGCTTAGTAGACGTGATATCCAACTATCGACCAAAGGGCGTGTGTACTGCTCAACAGTCCACTCCGTCCTCCTTTATGGCTGGGTGTAAGACCTGGCCATTGAGAGCAGAAGACATGAAAAGATTAGCTGTCTTCGATCATAGGTGTCTGTCTGCGTTCTATCTCCCGCGTGAAGTGGTATAATAAGGTGAGCAACATTGAGGTTAGGCGTCGAGTGCTAGGTAAGTAGGCGGGCAAATCAGTCGACGAGACTGTGAAATTACATCGACTGAGATGGTTAGGACATGTGGTACTCATACCTAGCCTTCCATCGCCTTCCTCGACATTGGGCAATGTTAGCTGATATAAGGCCAGGCTGGAAAGGAGCTAGCGGCGGTCAAACGAAAACATGGCCTCATCGGTCAATGAAGTCCACAACAGTTACTCTTAGCCACGTAGGAAGATGTAGACTTCCTGACTGGTTGGGGTCCTCGGGACGGTAAAAACCAATGGTTGGAAACTATTGGTGACATGGCTCAAAATCGTTGTTAGTGACGCAGATGCATCCACTCCTTGTGACTTATGATTTCCAATGAAACTGTTTTGTTCTTCGTTATTACTATTGCTTTGTCTCACACCTCTGTTTACTGTCTCTATTATGCATTTCTTCTACTCTCTTCTCTTCCTTTGTGTGCTACATGGAGTGTGGCGACTTGAACTGCCGCACATATGTGCAAAGTTCTATGTCGAAAACCAACCGACCGACCGACTACTACTATACACAGCCAGCGTGTCACCACTGAACATCTCCCATCATCGTGGTTTAACAAAGGACAGACAAAAAACAATCCGTAGTTCAATTTTGTCACATTTAATTGATAGTGGTCATGTTGCGGTGGTGGAGAAAACGAAAGCTTTCAAAGTAATTCCTCGTATCCCTCACTGAATCTTTCCTCCAATAGACTTTGTATTCCTCCGTCTACTGCACACACACACACACAGCTGAGGCGGGCGATAGGCATTCGAACAACTATTAAAAACATAAACTATACGCATTCAAAAGAAGTTCGTACACGGCCATTATCCCTCCGACCCTTGTTGGTCTATTAAGACGACATAACCAACTAATGACTTCTACACCAACACCCCTTACTTACTTATATTTTCAACCCCACTCTCTTATCATCCCTTAATCTTATTATCACATCTTCATTAAAAACGTGTTTCATTTACTTCGCTTACAATCAGTCTAGCATTACTTAAACGGTTCATTGGTGTTTTTCTTAGCCTTTATCGACTACCACGTCTACGTGAACCATCTTATTATTCTACAGATAAAAAACGCCATGATGATTGGTTTATATTTGAATTTTTATTTGTTAGGTTATGTATGTTGGCATATTAGAGTTAATTCTTATCCTTCTGTCTATACTGATAGCAACAGTCTACCAGGATTGATTTGAATCTTTCTAGGTCTTCATCAGAGGAGGCGCCCAAGTCCCCTGTTTGTATATAGAAGTTCTCGAACTGTACTTAGGTCCTAGAGATAACGCTTCAAGTTGTAAGTAAAATGACTTTAAAACGACATGTACTTAATCAGCTCGAATCAATACAGTCTGACATCATACAACTGGAATTAAATATATATATCACAACGGAATTATGCACTTCTCGACCTTCCAGAGGATATGAGACTACAATTTATGGAATATGTGTCGATGAAATCGCCGAATCTAATTCCTCAAAAAAAGGAACACAACTGATGAAAGGCTTAGAAAGCCGAACTCTCGAATGTAGATTTTGCTGCTAATCCCGAAAGGTACGTGCATAACTTTTCTAGCGTGACTCTTGACAAACTACAACTTGAAGCGTCATCTCTAGGACTTAAGCTTTGCGATTTTCGTACGGAGAATAGTCAGATTGACACCGATGTACAGTTGGAGAACTTCTATATTAGAGTTAAAAGCCTGTGTGATGAGATCTGTCTAGTTGAAAAAACAACAATATTGTTCACTTAAGCAGGGGGGTTGTTCTAAATTTTACTATGGGAATATTGAATATATATTAAAATAATGAAAGATAATAATCTTGACAGGTTTTACATTGTTTATTTATTTATGCAACACACAACAATAGAAGATGCAAACAACAATTATTGTGTGCACATTTGTATGTTAAAATAGGAAAAAATAAATAAACAAATTCACCAGACACATAAATAAAATGAATAAATGAATGAATGAATACAAACTGTTTAACAAGTTGAAACATTAAAACATTAAAAATACTCGGCCCATGTTCTAAGCGACAGAGACAATGTTAAGTGCGAAACCTATGACTTGCTTTGTTGTTAATAACATAATTTTAGGCTCTTTTATTTCTCTCTTATTTTGTATTCTATAGTGAACTCCTTCTTAAATACACTTAGCTACCTAAATTATTAACATTGGCTTACTACTTTTTTGTACTTTACTGTATTCCTTCTTTTGTGTATCTACTGGTTCCGACTATATCAGCACTATGAGTAGTACAAAAATTGTCCTGTCATTAACCATCATGTAACTATTAGTTTTGTGGTTGTTTTATCTTTTTTTCGGCAATATTAAACTGACAATCATTGGTTGTGAACGCCATTATCACCACCTTAAAAAATTTTGTATTATTCAGGATTACTCACACTACCACTACAAACACTGCATTAGACCTGACAATAAAAAACAAAACAACAAACCCTGAAATGTTATTTTATGAGTGTTTAGTGTTGGTTGTTTCAACCAAATTAACTGATCATCTTGGCGATAAACATTCTTAAATATCATTTCATAACTTCTTGTATGACTATAGCTTTACTGTCACCATGCCATGCATAATCATATCATAGCTTCCACTACCCAATACTCAGTTATTATTATATGATGTTTATTTTCCTTTCTACTTCTTGGTATTTTTTCGCATTTATAATTATTTTTGTGTTTATCCTGTGTTTTATTGTATTTTTGCTGTTGGTGTCTTTATATTTATTTTTTGAAATACTCCTTTTAAATGTTTGATAACATTAGATGCAAATATTGTAGATATGTGCTGAAAATTCCACACTGTACCACTAGTACTATTTCTGGAATAAAGCAAAATTATTATTATTATTATGTCACTACTTCATTGTTTCACTCCTCCCCCTCCCCCCTATGAACAGTTACCAGCTTCCATGGAGGATTTCATCATGACCAGCTGACATCAGTTAGAGAGTCACTGGAAAATCAACCAAGGAGTGAGTACTGGACAGCTGTTTCCTCAGTCCTAGTTTGGGATTCTTCATCAGTACGCAGCCACCCCACTGCCAGGGTTCGAACCCAGGACCTCCTGGTTACAAGACCAGCGAGCTAGCTCGTAGACCATTGAGCAGCCACTGGTCATAATGAAATCCTCCATGCAATCAAACAAAATCTCTACAGAACCACCACTTAAAAGTTACCAGTTTATTAATTTTTTTTTATCCCTTTACGTTTTAGAGTAGAACATACGGCGCCAAGTTAGAGCTTTGAAGTTATAGTGTTACAGTGATTTTATTTTCACAGGGTGGGTCTACCAGCCTCACCAGCCTCCAACCTTTTCTTCTTTACCAAACTTACAACCCAATTGGCTTAGCAAGTGTGTGGTTCACCAACAAGATCTGGTTAGGAGATGACTAGCTGAGTTCACATACTAAAATGAAGTGTGGCAACTCGAACTGCTGTATATCGGTACGAAGTTCTACATCGAAACCAACCAGCCAGTCAGTTACAGACTATTCCATATTAGTTTGTTTATTAGATGGATGTATCACATACACAGTCAGTCAGTCAGTGAGTGGAACAGTATTAGTATTTACTGGATGACAAAGTTGTTTCGAACACAATTCATAATCATATCACCAATTATAATCACACGACTTCGAAACTTGAGTTTTGTTTTTCACTGTACTTAGAACACAGGATATAGATAGATTTTTCGAACACATTATAACTCAAAGATGGCGGCAATTCAATTCAATTCATTTATGATGAATTGGAAAGTCAGGAAGCGGGGGAGCTGCTAATGGTAGACTGCAGTGTAAAAAAAGGAAAGAAGATGGGAAGTTAAACACACACTAGTGTGTGTTTACACTGTTAGCTCACTCATAATCTTGTGTTTTCTACTAAAGACTTAGGCAACACATTGTCTAATACAATCGAGGTCACAGTCGTCTTACAAATTAGATCACTCACCGCTTTGATTTCTATTATTAACAACACGACTATTGTTATTATTATTATTATCCAATGAAGATGAAGAGTTGGGATGTGGTCGATGTGAATTGTTTGATCGTTGTTGCATAACGCCTGATGGAGGAGCTGATGCAGAAAGCTGGGCGCCCGACTGACCACCACCACCACCAGACGGCAACCGTATATTAGGTGGTGAGTTGTTATCACCTCCATATAATCCTCCAACAAGTGTAGCATTATTGGCTAGATTAGTCAATTCAGCACGAAGTTGTTCACGAACACCAGCTTCGTCAAGATACCATGCAGCTACTTCTTGTAGGCTCCCACCAGCGGTTGGATCAGGTGCGCCTATATAGAGAAAGGAAAAAAAAGTATTAGAATATTTGTGTACAGTATCAGGTGAGCATTTCAAACAGACTTCAGACCAACGGAAGTGAAGGGCTTTTGGAAGTGTGTGTGGGCGCTTGTTACTTCCCGGCTGCCCACACTAATTGATTAATTCTTCGGGTACGTGAAACAGGATTAGTGTTGCCACTTTCCAAATAGCATACAAAGGTAGACGAGAAGATGGATGGGTGAAGAGAATCAATAGAGTTTTGACAAGTATAAGAGTGAAACAGAACGAATGAGTAATGGTAGAAAGGAATATGAAAGATTACACAAGAGACTGAATACATCTGCGTAAGCCATTGACAACGATTTTGAGCCATGTATGTCACCTATTGTCTGTCTCCAGCCATTGGTTCTTAGAGTCCCGAGGGCGGGCCCCAACAACAGGAAGTCTGCATCTCCCTACCCACCTGACTCAGTTTAACTGTCAAGGATTTCATGGATTGATGATGGCATGTTTTTGTTTGGCATGGCACCACTTACTTTTTTTCCAACCTGCACCTACCGATATCAGCTAGTAATGCCCGTCGGGAGGGGGAGGCGATGGTTAGGCATGCGCAGCACGTGACCTAACCATCTCAATCTATGTAACTTTACAGCCTCTTCGATTGATTTTCCCTCTTTGCCCAACACTCTACGCCTAACGTCAACAGTCAGGCTTCAGACCAACAGTAGCCTTCGTTTCTCATACTGAGGATGATGAGATGGCCGACCAGAAATGATTACTGACAAAAAAAAGAAGTCTGTAAAAGAAAAGCAAAACCCCAACCAAAAATCGATTGTCCAACAACAAATATATGCCGAAGGAAAATGCAGATGGATCGGACACGCGCTGAGTAACAACACATCACGCTACGCTCAAGGCTCTCGAGTGGGACTGGATTAGAAAAACGACGATTTGCGCTGTGGTTCAATGGTGTGACATCGATAAGACCGTAGTATATAATGGGGAGTCAGTCGTGAAAGCCGATAGGCAATTAATTGTGGAGCCAGCTTACAGGACTGCAGAGGAGAATAGCGTGAAAGAGATATATCCTGTTGAATCCCTACGTTCTTCTCGGAGCCTAAAGGAATAATAATGACAGTAATAATAATAAAGACTGAATGCTGCTGTTAGAAAGACTTTTTATGCAGCTAATATCATAATAATAGAGAAAATACATTAACTATAAAAATGACAGCAGTATCATCCAGTCAACACCTATCGTATATCACTTGATTGTGACACTTTGATTAGTGACTTTTGTTTCTCCCTTTGCTCGTGTTCCACTCGAGCAATGGCTTGTCTAGTGATGTCACTCACTTGATGGTTTGTTTTCTCAGAGTATGACCAATCCAATCCTATCCACCTCCTCCATTTCTTCCTGCTTATTTGTTGCACAATCGGTTCCTGCTGTGTTGGTTGGTTCGCTCATTGCCAAAGATCCCTCCCTGTTGCTGATCTTTTCTGGCCGGCCGGCCGACAATCTGATCTTGAGTAGTATTGAGCGAAGACAGCTAGCTAGCTGTTGATCAAGGTCTGTAGTTTGTTTGAGGTGCTCTATGTGACACACTGGCCAAGTCTCTGATCCGTATGATGAGTAGCACTGACTGACTTCACATTGGAGTTGAAAATCCGGATCTTATTTTCATTATTTTCTTGCTGAGTAGTGCTGTTGACAGCAGCTTTCCCGATCCTCACTATTTTGATATCCTCGTCAGTTCCGTCCTCCCTATAGTTGAAACGATGCTTCCCAGGTCGGTAGGTAAAGGAGGTTGTTTCTCTTCAGGTTCCTCCCATTTACACTGGCTGATTGTTGTCTGTTGTTGTTGCTATTGGTGGTTTTGGCCAGGAATCCTCATCACCTCTGTTTTCTCTATGTTCGCCATCACAATACACCGATTCGATTACTTTCTTCTTCTGGGAAGAAGCTTGCATAGGTGGCAAGTGTCTTTAGAGAGTGATAATAGGTGGTAGACACAGGCTGGATTTAATGAAACAATGAAACAACATATTGATTTTTTCCTTCCTTGTTTTTGCTATTATCAATATTATCATTATTCACCCATCACACATAGGAAACAAATAGAACAGAACATTGTGTGTTCGGACGAGGTCATCGCATAAATCATATGAGAACATAGGGAGAGAAGGATTAGAAATGGAACAATTAAATATATGGGATCGAAATTAGTCGTCGCAGCATGATTAGATCTATAAAAAAAACACGTGTTTACACACAAACACACACATACACACAAAGTTGAGTGGGGGTGAGAAAAAGCAGAACCACAAATAGACAGATTGCGATTAAAAGTATGGTGGTGGTGGTGAGGGCCCTGTGAGAGATGATCGATGGCAAGAGAGAGAGGATTTTTGTTCAAAACCCACAATTCTTTGTGCTTTGAGATTATACAGTTGCTTTTACGATGAGTCATAAAACACAGAATTGTTCAGGATAAGCCTGAACATACAATGATAATCTCGGACGTGCCTCACAGACATACGTGATAAACACATAGAACCACACACACACACACACAGTGTGGTGCACAGGGATTGTTATTAACCATAAAATTAATCTGTTTCCCATCTTAGCAAATTTAGCATAATGTTGATTATTATTATTATTATTATTATTATTATTATTATTACTAGTTTTCTATAGTTTGGTTTGTAAGGGTTAGTTTTGTTTTGTTTTACGAGTTGATCATGGATTGATATCAATCAGTTAGAGAACTATTGAAAACCAGCCACAGGGAGTACTGGACAGCTAGCTGCTTCAACCTACTTTGGGAATCATCGGAAGTACGCACCACCCACCACCAAGATGCCAATTCGTGATTTAGCGCGACCCCAACCACTATCGTAGGTGGAACATCTACCCATCCTCACACACGACATCTGGATGGACCTCACTGGTCACGACTTCTCACTAGAACTGACTCACTGCAGGAGACTCCATCCTGTAGCAAGTCACTAGCGAGCATCAAACTAAACTATAGAAAATTAATCTGATGCTCGCTAGTGACTTGCTACAGGATGGAGTCTCCTGCAGGAGTTCTAGTGAGAATGACCAGTGAGGTCCATCGAGATGTCACGTGTGACGATGGATATCCCACCGACGACATTGGTTGGGGTCGCGCTAAATCACAAATTGGTAAAGGTTAGAATTCATGCACTGCGTGGCCACTGAAACATGTCCCAGTGAGTGGCTGAATGACATACGAGCCAGCCAGCTTGCCTTGTAACCGGAAGGTCCTGGGTTCCAACCCCTGTGCAGCGAGTGCGTACTGCCGATAATTCCCAAACTAGGCTGATGAAACAGCTAGCTGTCCAGTACTCCCGGTGGCTGGCTTTCCAATGCTTCTCTAACTGATATCAATCCGTGATCAACTCGTAAAAACATAACTAACACTTTTACAAATAAAAATGACCTCCAGTATTATTATAGCAAAGTAATTGGTTAATTGGTTATTCACTCACACCGCTCTCTCTCTCTCTCTCTCTGAACAAAGCATCGATTTTCAGGCATACAGACACACAGAAACACACACACACATCCCAAATGAGGCAAATTCGCAAAATATTATTATCATTATGAGATTAATTAAGCACGACGCATAGTTTGTTGTCAATCACGTACCAATTGTACAACACACTACTACTCTGTGCACATACAGTAAACTTCGTGCAGTAAATTTATTATTATTATTATTGTTCCCTTGGGTTCCTAGTGGAACATAGGGCTTCAACTACACGCCTCCACTTGTTTCTGTCTGGATCCATGTTAGTCCATTCTGTTTCAGCTCCTCTTCACACGATCTCCTCCATGTCACCCTTGCACCGACGTCCCACTACTCGCCACTTCCTTTTCGGGTTCCACTCGAGCGATGGCCTGACGCGCAATGTCACCCAACGGCTTCCTCAGCGAGTGTCCAATCCATCTCCACTTTCTCTTGCATATTTGTTGAGCGATTGGTTCTTGTTTCGTTTGTTTGTTCCCATAGTATCTTGTTGGTGATTCTTGTTCTTTCCGGCCATCTGATCTTCAGTATGATGCTAGCGAAGACAGTTGTTGTTGATAAAGGTCTGCAACAGGCTGTTGGAAATATTCTTTGTGACCCGCCGCAAAGTTTCTCATCCATCCGTATAGAAGAACTGACTGACTTGACGTTTGTATTGAAAATCCGAATCATTTTGTTGTTGAGTGTTGCTGAGTGACGAATATTTCCAGATTGGTTGTTTCAGGTTGATCAATGTGTTTCTCGCCTTCCCGACTGTCGATTTGACATCCTCGCCGTCCGTTCCTCCTGTAGTTGAGACAATGCTCCCTAGCTAGATAAGTGAATGAAGTAACCTCTTTCAAATCCCTCCCGTTGGCACGGGTGATTGGCGCTGGATGTTGCTGCTTCTGTTGTTGTTGGTTGGTTGGTTATTTTCATAACCTCCGTCTTGTCTATGTTCACCAGGGATTTTGTCTGACTTGGAGCATCCACCACAGCACCCTCAGCTATCACCTTGAATATCTCCTTAGGTAGAACAAGAAGTAACTTCAGAAAACTGTATGCTCGCACGTCTAAGTATAAATATCCTATGATACCATACTTGGCACGTATTCTATATGATGAAAATACTGTCAGGCAAGAATTAACTAACCTTTCTTTCATCTAGTAAATAAACAATTTCCTCCATCCATCCATCCATCCTTATATACCTTCAAGTTTTACTTTCATTATTTCTATTATATTATTTATGGTCCTGTTGCTTCTTTGTTTTACGCTCATAATTGCAAACACCAACTTATCTCAATGACTGTTGTAATCTTTGTTTTTCCCCCCTCACCATATCATGTAGAGAGAACATTATATTCAATGTGTTTCTAACCATGCTAGGATTTCTATACCGCATCGAACAATAACTGTGTGAAACAAGCCCACGGCAATTTTCACTTGTATTATTATTATTATTACCTTAGCTGTTATCATTATTATTATTTCCACTTTATATGCTGCATGTTTTTGACATTACCCCTATTGTAAGTGTGGAAAAATCTTTCTGTGTGATTAATTTTATTTATAATTTGAGGAAATTAGATGCAGGATATTGTGATCTTCCATGCTGAAAATTCCATTCTGTATCACAAGTACTGTTTTTGGAATAAAGTAAATTATTATTATTATTATTAAACGATTTTCAACAGGGTAAAGGAAACACGCGCACACCCACACCATCTGTTCAGGAAAATATTAACCGCATACAGGAGATGGGAGATTTAACTTTTTAAAAAATAAGAAGTTCGTCTCATCCAGAAAAAACAACGAAGGCAGGCGATAACGCATAACGTAACACATAAAACTTTACCTGAAGTTTTATTGATAGTTGATTCCGGTTGTAGTAACTGATCGGCGAGTCGTTGTGCACTGGGTAAAATTTTATTTGGATGTGAAGCAATCAGGTATTGAGCAAATTTCTGTAGTTGGCTACGACTCATGCATACCAGGGCATCTTTAAAATGGGGAGAAGAAAAATAAAGAAACCGCATAAAATCATAATAATAATAATAATGAAAGTTCTCTAATGATTCTGGATGTCTTACTTACTAAGTAGGCAAGAAGATGGGTCACTTGGGAGAAGCGTGTATAGAAAAAGCATATTTACAGGGCAATACACACACTTCATTAGTTACGTGCCCATTAAATATAAAGAAGAAATGTTGTTAAATGTCTCACGAGCAGAGCAATAAAGATGATATGTACGGATGACTTCTTACAAAAGGAATTTGAATATATATATTCATGATTTCTTGACGGAGATGGACTGGCTGTCCGAGTAGTTTCATAAAGAAACATATGAAAACATCAGAGAGAAAACCTGAGACTCTGACTGCACGTAAGAGACCCCTATTTTATTAATTTACAATTTTTTTACGAGTTGATCACGGACTGATATATTAGAGACATTGAAAACCAGGAGTATGGACACTGCTTCATCTAGTTTGGGAATCATGGCAGTACGCACCCACTGGGTCAATCCAAAGGCAAGTGGGTGCGTACTGCCGATGATTCCCAAACTAGGATGAAACAGCAGCTGTCCAGTACTCCCTGGTTTTCAATGGTTCTCTAACTGATATCAGTCCGTGATCAACTCGTAAAATTTACAATTTAATGCTGACTTGTCTCTGTCAAGTGAGATTTTATTCCAGAGGCTTTCCAGGAGTATACGGAGAACGTTTTACGTAGCATACCTATGTGTTTGTCGTTCTCTAACCGACGAATGATTGCGACACAAACGAAGGATAACCTAGATAGATAGAGATTTGCCACTCATCTATATGCATTTATCAATTCAACTGCATCTGCGGTGATAGTTATGTTGGGCACACTACTACTGCTAGACAGCTTAGCCAGTCAACGTGTCACCACTGTACATCTCCCATAATCGTGGTTTGGCATATATATATATATATATATATATATATATATATAATCAAAACAAATGATTCAGCGAAGAGACTCTTTTCAACAACGAATTTATCATCAAGCTGTACAATCGTATATACACATATGGTTTTTAAGAAGTTATATCCGGTGAGGGAATTGAATCATAGGTCTGAGTGAATGCATAAAATAATAATAATAATATGAAATGCAATTAAAACTAAAATGTTTGTGATTATAATCGTAGTTAAATGTCAAGTGGCAAAGCAAATTAACGTCATATATAGAATAATTCATAGGATGGATAGAACTTGGTGATATTATAAACGGTCTGATCAATGAAAGATATATATACTTTGGCTTCCCCGTGACTTGCCGCCGCCTTCTGCTGTTACACACAATGACATTAAGATGAGAAAAAAAATATGTGTGTGATAGATGCTTCAATAGCTTCTTGAAATAAAACGGACACACACACACACACCTATATGCTACTCTGTGATATATAGGCCTCCAGAATATCCTAAACCCGCATCGACTCTTCATTTCTTAAGGATACTAGACACAGACATTTCAGACATATATCACATTTTATTTTTTATCCCTTTTTTTGAACGAATAACCAGCGTTGACATGGACTACTAATATGTCAGATTTAGATTTGAGTAAGCCTAAAACGCCACCTTCTGAACAAACTGCAACTCTACGCAAAGCATGGAATGGCAATCAAACCTCTGCCTCAACTTCTTCATAGACTTTGAGAAGGCCTTCGACAGCGTTAACCGTGAAGTAATTTGGAAACTACTCGAGTACTACGGCGTACCCCAAATATTCATCAACCTTATTCAACAGCTGTACGACAACGGCACATGTCAAGTGATCCACAACGGAAAACTCAGCGAAGCGTTTGGAGTAAACACAGGAGTCAGACAAGGGTGCTTATTATCACCAATGATATTCCTAACTGTGGTGGACTGGATTATGCGTCAGACAGTAGGAAACGAGAAGACAGGGATATCCTGGACCGACGTGAAGAACCTAGAAGACCTGGATTTCGCGTGTGGATGATTTATGTTTGATTTCACACAAAATCGAAGACTTACAAGCGAAAACCGACAAACTGGTCGAAGAAGCAGCAAACACAGGACTCCAGGTGAACATAGACAAGACGGAGGTTATGAAAATAACCAAACAACCAACAACAACATCCAGTGCCTATCACCATCAATGGGAGGGATTTGAAAGTGGTTATTTCATTCACTTATCTAGCTAGGGAGCATTGTCTCAACTACAGGAGGAACGGACGAGGATGTCAAATCGAGAATCGGGAAGGCGAGAAACACATTCATCAACCTGAAACCAATCTGGAAATCTTCGTCACTCAGCAACACTCAACAACAAAATTCGGATTTTCAATACAAACGTCAAGTCAGTCAGTTCTTCTATACGGATGGATCAGGAACTTGGCGGCGGGTCACGAAGAATATTTCCAACAGCCTGTTGCAGACCTTTAGCAACAACAGCTGTCTTCGCTCCATACTGAATATCAGATGGCCGGAAAGAACAAGAATCACCAACAAGATACTATGGGAACAAACAAACGAAACAAGAACCAATCGCTCAACAAATATGCAGGAGAAAGTGGAGATGGATTGGACACTCGCTGAGAGGAGGCCGTTGGGTGACATTGCGCGTCAGGCCATCGCTCGAGTGGAACCCGAAAGGGAAGCGGCGAGTAGTGGGACGTCGAAGGGTGACATGGAGGAGATCGTGTGAACAGGAACTGAAACAGTATGGATTAACATGGATGCAAGTGAAAAGTACAGCAGAAGACAGAAGTGAGAGTGGAGGCGTGCAGTTGAAGCCCTATGTTCCACTAGGAACCCAAGGGAATAATAATAATAATAAAACGCCACCACCACCCGATATCTAAGACAAAGAAGACGTTAGCAAGGAATGAATGATATTAACCCCCCACGTCACCACCACCACCGCAACCATCTTTACCGGATGACCTTGGAACACTGGGTGTTTGTGTTCTCTCAAAGGCATTCTCAGGTTGTTAGTCAAAACACAGTATAACACACAGTATATCGATTATGCACAACTATGTACATCGATCATTACAAATAATAAGACATTATAATCTAAGCAAAAGAAAGGAATCCTATTTATTTATTTTTTGCTCTACATGAACATAAAATCGGAAAAACAGAATAAAAAAATGCAGAAAAAATTAGTAATAATAATAGTGCTAATGACGCCAGTGTTTGACTGTAAATAATCGACGAAATAAAAAGAAAATATTGCAATTGTTTTGCATTCTGATCAGAATGTATATTACTAAAACAGTTGCAGAATTATATGTATTGATTGCTTAGTGAAACTGAAGTATCGATAGTAGGTACAAACTGATATATGTGTGTAAAACTTGGGCACTGTGGTGATGGTAGTAAGTAATTCCCTTATTAGTTTGTTTATTAGATGGATGTATCACACAGTCAGTGAGTGAAACAGCATTAGAGTATTTACTGGATGACAAAGTTGTTTCGAACACAATTCATTATTGCTATTCATAATCATTGCAGCCAGCATTGTTAAGAATTCTCCGCTGTAAGGTCTTTTCCGAGGTTCCTTCCTTGTATGGAATTACTACTGTTGATTTAGCTTCGTTATTGTTGGGGTTGTCTTGAGCTTATTTGACTTGCATGTCATCATTAATATTATTATTATTATTATCACTATCACTACTATCATTATTTATTTTATTTTTACATTTCCCTACATACTTTCTGACTAATTTATCAGGGTAATTATTAAGTTTCAAGGCTTCTCTTATATGCTTCACTACCTGTCTTAGATTTTCCTTGGTACTACTTAGTTTTCGTGCTGTCACTTAAACATTTCACTAATCCTATTTTCACTGACATAGGATGGGATGATCCGATATCTGTTTGAATGTGTGGGTTTCCGGTAAACACACAATAGTGTGTGGATGACAAAGTTATTTCGAACACAATTCATCATCATTATTGCTGTTCATAATCATACTCATCACCAATTATAATCACACAACTTCGAAACTTGAGTCTGATAGTCTTCTATGTTCTCTCCTATTTGTCGTCGTCATTGGGGTAGTAGAATTTTCCAGATATTGGGTTGGACAGGTGTTGAATCATTCCTATTACACGTGTTGATTTGCAGTTGATTCGATAAACAAAGCGTCCGTTGTTATCAATCTTCCCCACTCGTCATCCTGTTGTATTCGTTTTTAAAACTGTCATCTTATCCCATCCAGCCTATTGTATGTTTGGGTGTGTGTGTGTGTGTAATTGCATGTAGTGCTTGCGATAGCTGCTGAACTATTCTCTAGATTTCTTATCATATTCGGGTCAACCAATCTAGATTTCACTACTAGTTTTTTTATGCTGCTCGGCTGGTCTGACTCACTGACTGACCGTGTTCTACTACTTTAACCCATCTATGTATTTGATCTGACAATCATCTCACGCAGGGTATTAGATAAACTCAATTGTTTTGTCAGTTAAAGGCACCACAGGATTGATCCTTAAACCGATAAAGCTTGTTTCTAATTGAGTTTGTGGTTGGTTTGAATGCCAGCAGCCACTTTTATTCCTGTCTGCCTTGTTAAGAATTCTCCGCTGTAAGGTGGTTTCCGAGGTTCCTTACTTGTATGGAATTACTACTGATGATTTAGATTCCTTATTGTTGGTGTCGTCATCATCTAACGTAACAGGAAGCTTTATTTATGGATTCAACGGCAAATACGTGCTTGTAATAGGAATGATTCAACACCTGTCCAGCTGGGCATCTGGAAAATTCTACAACCCTTAACGACGACTGATTAAATTCATCATCATCATCATAATCATTTTGCACATAACAACTGGTAGAGTAGAATAAACAAATTTTAAAATATTATTTTTTTAAAGCATTTTTTCTTCCACTAATGGAAGGGAAAGGATTTAGACAAACTCTTTTTTAATAACAAAACATTATGTAAACAGGATAGGATTAACGGGAAAGAGGAGGGGGAGGAGGAGCAGG